AGGGAAAGAAGAACTAAACAGCACAAAAAGTATAAATAACAATCTGAGAAGACAAAAGCAAAATATACACTTTCATATCACCTTGTGGACATTGCACTATTGGATAAACTGTTAACAATTTGGAAAAAAACAACTCCTCAAAGAAGCTGTAAGACACTGACTAGAATAGAGGTGTATCACTTCATATGTTTGATTCAAATAGGTCTTCAAAATCTGCCCAGTATAAGCTTTAAAGCAAACAAAACACCCTGCTTTTCCCAAATGCAAAGAAAATTTAAATGAAAACCTAGCAAAACTATTGCAAAGTTTCTGCCTAAAAATATGTTCAAACACAACCATCAATGAAAAACTGTTCATCATTTGTAGGATCAATTTTTACCACAAGATAAAAAAACTTCAAGTATTTTTTCCAAAATGGCTAATTAGACAAAGCAACATATGGAGGCAACCTAATACATCTGTGTTCTGAACAGTAGCTTATCACTGACATGAGGAATATTAAGTAAATGATAAGTTAAAAAGCAGCTTGTGCTGATGAAGTCTGTAAATAAAGGAGCAAGTCCCATCCCTAATTAATGATAAATATAAAATCAGAGTTTTACATCATACACTTGTGAAGTAACAGTCTCACAAAAGCTGAACTCAATATAGCATAGCTTTAAAAAAGAAAAAACCCTAAAACTTACCACTAGGACCCCCATTCACAAGTACATGCTAGAGGCCAACCAGCTGGTTGAAGAAAAGGTCCTCGTGGACACCAAGTTGAACCCAAGGCAGCAACACATCCTTGTGCAAAGGCAGCAACCATGTCCTGGGCTGCATCAGGAAGGACGTTGCCAGCAGGTGAGGGGAGGTGACCCTTCCTCCCTACCCAGCACTACTGAGGCCACATCTGGAATATTGTGTCCAGTTCCAGGCTCCCCAGCCCAAGAGGGGAGCAATTTATTTTACAGTACACATCAGTTAACTCATTAAGGACTTTGAGTTAGCTCCTTGGAGGCTAAAGGAGGTTTCATACCCCAAATTAAACAATGTAATCTTTCATCTCTGATGGATGATAAAGAAAAGCATTTGCTTAAAACAAATATTAATTTTCTATGTGAACAAGTTCGGAGGAAAACTCAAGAAGGTATTTTGAGCTGCTAACAGGGGTAACAAATTTTCATTGGGGAACACAAACATAGATTCTACTTACAATGAAAGTATTGAACTTTATCTACTTCCAGAAGGAGAAAAGAGGCTGCTTTTTTCAAGTTAAGATTATGTGGGAAATAATACTCAAGCTGAATGCCTGAAAGAAAATTAACCAGCTGTCTCTGTAAAAAGCTGTGTGAAACAACTGACTGCTGCTGATGTGCAATTCTTCCCTCTATTGTCAAGCTGTGCAACTACATCACTAACAGTAATGCACACTGAACCTTGTAAATATTTTAAATATTGTTTTTCCAAAGACATTCCCCTCAGGTTGTGCTTTTTTTCATCTTAAAAAAAAATACTGTAGAAAAAAACTTCAGGAAAAAATGAAATACACAAATATTCTAATGGTGATATAAATGGATGGGCCACTTGTCTGTTGTTCAGTGTTCATGCCAAACTATCTCCCCTGCAGAAGATACTCCCTCAAGTCAATAGTGACCTCCTCAGAACTTGGTAGCAAGGATGTGAACCTTGCCTTTCAAAATGTAACTTGGTATAGTAAGGAGAAATAGAAGGCAATTACTTTCAAATGAAACACACTTTCCCAGCACTAGAGAAGAGAAACAATCTAAAAGGCCCACCCTGCCCCAAGTCCAAAATACTATTTTCCATCTAAAAGTTTAGAAACGCCTGTATTTTCCAGAATATGTAAAAGAGCATGAGTTGTCTGAAAAATGTGGTTTACACCAGTGAATGGCAGTAAGATACCCACAAAAGAATTATTTCCTCTCCATTTGGATGTAAAAAGGCAATTCCAAAATCTGTGATCAAACTATAATGAAATCTTTTACTATAGTAAGCACAGAGGTAATTTGCTATTGCTGCAAATCACTTCTTAGAGATAAATGCAACTTGTTTACAGGCCAATTACATTGTCTGCCAGCTGGACACTATGAGAATGCCCAGTTTTTGTTTTGTTCTTTTAATGTTTTGCTGAGCAGACAAGTGAGCATTCTTTCAAAACCAACTCATGAATTACAAGTAGGAAATGGATACTGGTATTTCAGATAGACTGAATCAGGAAGATTACGACTAGTATGTATAAAGATGAAACAAATTTTTTGAAATTAAATTCCAAAAAACTTTGCTGTTTCACACATCTGTTACTTGATGTCTCAAATAGTTAAATGGAAACAATGAAACTGCTTTCTGAAGCATGTAACAGACATACATTGTATGGGATGTTAATTGGCCCTTTTTATTAAGAATAAATTGCTATGTGCAATTGCCATTCCTTTTCAGAAAAGGAAGACAGTATATAGCAATATAGAGGTATTAAGTGCTTTCACCTCTTCAGTTATTAATATAGCCAGAAGATAGCATTTTTTATTGAATCTAATTTAAAACTGATTAGCAGTTGGGTAACTGTATTGCCATCCTGCTTTTCTTTTTCAACAGACACTAAAATTAACTACAAAGTCAGATTAACCTCTATGAAGCACGATTAAGAGAGCAATAATGACAAAGGAAGTGTACTACTTAGCATCAGCAGAGAACCAAAAAGGAAATAAAACTATTATCTTGTAGAACAGTAATATTTACCCAGGGTTTAGACAATATATTAAGTTGTCCTTAAAAGTTCCCTTGACTTGTGACCAGAGACTGATCAATCAGAAAAATACTGGGAAGGTACCTCAGAGACACCCAGTGTTGAAGACAGCAATGCATCCTACCAGAACAAGATAGTTATTCTAGCTAACAAACAAACAGGAGATATTGAAGGATTTTACTTATCATCTCAAGCAAAAGGAAATAATCAACTCCTAGTTTAGAAAAAAAAAAGGCATCTAAACATTTAGTAGCAAACAGTTTACAGAATCATTTGTTGAAAACTGTAATGGAAATTAAATCCTCCAATAATCCTGACAAACAAATTGAGAACTTAGCATACTTCTGGCAAACAAAAAATAAAGAAATCTTACAATAAGATACAGCAAAACCCACACTTTTAATTGATCCAGAATGCCTTAACATCAAGTGTAAGAACTGTAATTGTTTTGGTTAGGCTGCTGAGTGCAGGAAGTCCCATGGCTGGCAGACAGGCTGGGCACAGGAACAGTTACAACCTGAGCCTTCAGGCAAAACTGTCACCACCTTCAGCAAAGGTAGCTCAGTTTAACACACCTACACTACACTCAGCAATTGGTTGTTTTTTTTTTCATTAAAGGCTGCTGTGCTCTAAGAGTTGAACAGCTGAATGCACTTAGAATGTTACCAAGATGGATAAATCTGGTATTAAAGTAGGGTAAGAGTGGTATTCTACCAGTCACCTGGTGGAGAAACTGGAGCAGGTTTGGGTGATCTATTTACTTTCATGCTAATTCTAGAACACCAACTATGAAGTCACCCATAGAATCTGAACCCTCTGGTTACTTATGAGACTAAACATTTAATAACTCATCACTAAGAACTGTCAGCCCCTCCAGCCCAGAGTTTACTCCTGTATTATTATATAGTCAAAGCAAAAATGTTTGTCAATTAAATGAAACCAAATCTGGTATTCATGCATCAAGACAGTTGTTTGCTGAATAGGGTTGATTTGCTTTAATATACAGTGATACTTAGACCTGCATGTAGGGTCTAAGTTTTTTGTAATCCAAGATCAGAACTTGGGTTTTTGTGACATTTGTCAGATGTACTTGAAAATAACATGGCAAAGCACACAGAGTCAAGAAATCCTCACTGAATTCAGCTACTGGATGCTACTCCAGAAGAGAAGCTGTCCTGATGATGAGAACCTCTTGTGCATGTTAGTGATCACAACCTGCTGCACGTCCTCCTCACCATCTCCTGCTGATGTGTGAGGCTGTCCCAAACACAGGATGAACTGATGCTGTATTGATTGCTTTAATTTGAAAGAGCATGTCGTGAAAAGGGACAGAAGACAATTGGTGGTGGATCTATACTTCTGAGGGTGATGAACATTTTCG